AGGAAAGGTGCATTTCTTGATAGCCCAGTCTCATAAACATCTTCTCGAACACTTTTCATGACTCCTCCACATTTTTTCTCCATGAAATCCATCTCTGACACACCGAGCATCGAATGAGATCTGACTTTCGGCCTCTTAACATTATCAATATTGTGTTCCCTTCTACTGGAAGTTGCCAATGGCAACCCAATCCAGCTTTTTCTCCTAGATGAAGTTGACACTACAGACTCCGAATCATCATTCTCTTTATCGATAAAAACTGGTGCATTTCTTGATAAGCTAGTCTCAGATACATTCTGTCGAACACATTTCGTGTTTTGTCCTCCATATTTTCGCTCCATGAGATCCATCTCTGACACACCAATCATCGAGCGAGACCTGACTCTCGCTCTCTTAACATTATCAGCACTCTGCTCCGTTGACTTCTTCAGACCATCTCGAATTCCAGAAAACCTCTCGATTCTTTCTTTACTGACAAGATCTATGGGATCCCCAACACAAGGAAGCCGGCCGGGAAGTGGTCGAAGGCCTTTGATAATTGGAACTGGGTAAGCATGCTCCAATTTATCTACATATACGAACTGCCCTAGCTGTAATTTGTTCGACAAAACAATCTCGTTTTCTTCTTGAGGCAAAGAAACATAAATTGCATGCATCGAATCCGAAACTCTCAAGAAAAATCCCTTGTTCGGCCACAAATTACCACTTTCTGATAAAACAGGAATAATACTCCTTACTTGCAATAACAGAGGTTTCAATTCACCGTCCTTTTCATTTTCTTCAATATTCATTCGCTCCAAAAGCTTCATGACGATTCCAGATCCCAAATCTGCCATAATCTTGAACCCGAAGAAGAGAACTCCAAAAATTGTCGCGTACAAACCATGTAAAAAGTGATTAATGAATGAGCTCTGAAGAGTTAGTTGATTTGTTAGTGAAATTTGAAACAAAACGCTCGACTCCTGCAGCATATAAAAGGATTTTGCCGGGGCAATTTGCTCTTCAATGGCGGATTGGGATGATGATCGATGAAGGAAATGCAATTGGGGGTTTCCAAATCCAGACAACCTGCAAGCAAGAGGAATTGAAAGCCGTATAGGTAGTTATTACCGTTATTGATATAGTATAAGATATTGTCACGTGTCTTTTTTTATATATAATAATTTTATACAAAATAATAATTTGTCTAAAACAATTAGATAATTAAACTTTAATTTGCCTAAAAAGAAATAAATATTTACCATTATATTACATTGTAGATGTTAATTATAATGTTAAGGAATATTTAAAAAAAATTATTAACATTAAACATCGAATTAATAATTACAGGTAGTTATACTGATCGTAACTATAAATTTCTTCAACTAAATTCCGAGATTTGTTTTGCTTCATATTCTTGAAAGTTACGACGAAAATAAATATCGATATATTTTCTACCGACAGAAAAGAAAGATTATCAAAACTAACAATATGATTAAAATTTATTAAAATTTACCGGTTCTTATTATAGTAAACCAAATAAAATTAAATGTTAATCGAATCGAATTAAGATTTAACTCATTCACTTTTGTGATTGTAGATAAATTAATACAGATTTTAGTTCAGAAATAACAAGATAAGATGCTTACTTTTCTGTTCACGGAGAACGATTCTTAAAATTGTTGATGCTTTTGGTTGTCTCTGTTTTCTTTCTTATGCTATTATAATTTTGGGTAATTTTCACACTTTAAAATTCAAGTCTGTCTATGATTTAACTCAACGTGAGAGAAAAAATGTTAATATATTATTTTTTTAGGTATTATCTTCTTTCTTGTCAAACAGAAGTAATTTTTTTCTCTCTTATGTACTCATTAAAAATCATCTTTTTTTATGAAAAAGAT